TGAGGGGGTAGGCCCTACTATTCATTTGGATGATTGTATATATATTTGATTCATTTTATGCTTTCCTTATCTTTTTATCTTTGGTCTGTATATAATTTTGATATTTCGTTACATTTATCGCATTTTTATTTCACTTTGGGTTTGTACATAAAGTTATATCACATTGTATATATTCATCCCATCCATTGTATATTCAAACCCCCTTGTACATATTCATTCTATTTTCCGCATTTTTTTTCGTTTTTAGCTTCTTATTTGTGATTCGTAGCTTTTCGTTTTCGAAGTTTGCAATAAGCCTTTGGTTTTCTTAATGCCACGGTTCTTTCCAAAGGTGGAGTGTTATGTGAACCGGGTGGCTCTTCCCAATGATGGATGGCGCGAAAACCTTCTTAAGGGTTTGAGTCCGTTTTTCTTTTTGTTTTTAATAGTAGTAGTTAAGGGTGCCTCAAGCAAAGCTTCATTTGGGCCTAGCACATTTGCCTTTGATCTTATTGTCAAAGACAATTTGTTGTGTTAAGGATGGTGAAAGTAGTGGCCTTGAGACTCTTCTGTTGGCCGATAATCATCAAGTGGTTTTTCGGGACCATTGTGAGCTTAAATCTTATCTAAGGTCGTTGTGGGCCCCCGCTCTATGTCTTTAGCAATCCCATAACTTGTGTGGTGAGTAATTGAATTGCAAGCCCAAGTCCAGAGCCATTGGTCTAGAACTTCCCCTGAATGTTTGTTGAGGCGAAATCATAAGTGAATTTTGACTTGAGACATGATTATAGGCTCTCCTTGAACTAAATGATAGTTTGAACAATTCCATAGCCTACCAATGATAAGATCCCTAGTTAACCCTTTTGAGCCTTAAACCTTTTTCTTTCAAGAACCATGATACAAGCCTATACCCGTTCTAAAAGATACCCTCTCTTGGCACCCAATCTTTCCTTTAGCACATGGCAAAAGTATAAGTTTGGGGGGAGAGACGAAGATTGCAACAAAGTGGTAAAAAGGCGCAAAAAAATGAAGAAAAGGAAAGGCAATGAAAAAGAAAGAAAAGCAAAAAGACAAAAAGAATGTTCAATGTGAAAAAGAATAAAAAGGGATTCAAGAAAAGCAAAGAATGAAAGGTGTGGAAAGTTGAAAAAGGAGAAAATGTTTGAAATGCATAAGAAAGAGTGACAATGTGTCTCTCTAACCCTTTAGAAAGAAGTGAAAATGACTCAAAGAGTCAAGTGAATGGATGCCAAATGAATCAAAAGAAGTGCTTAAGGGAAGATGGAACCCACTTAGACCAAAATATTCCCTACCCTGAACCAAAAGCCTTCACAATGTCCCCACAAAAGCCCTATATGATCTTGAGTTGAATGAAGCTTACATTAGTGGATACTCACATAAGGGGCAAGCATATGGTACCTAGAGCCGGACTTGTGGCTTTTTCTTGAGAGAGATGAGTGAATTCCCATTATCCTCATTCTGAGTGCCACTATCTTAAAGGCGAGGATTGCTTAGGGAGAGTTGAGGATGTGTGAGTTTGGGTTCCACAATGACCAAAGTAATTGAAAGAGTTCTTTGATGTATTGAGTCAACTCTTGATGCTCTTGTGTCACACTTGATCCATGATTTTTCAAAGAGTAAATGTTGTTAATGATTCATTTCTATTGAGGGCAATTGTTAGTCCCAAAATGATGCTAGTTGAGGTTGCTTTAGGACAACTGAAATTTTTCTTGGACATTCTCTTAAAGGGTGGGTCTTATTTTGTTTGCTTGAGGACAAGCAAAAGCTTAAGTTTGGGGGAGTTGATAACTAGAGATTTTGACCATTTTATACTCCTTCTTGCTTATGCTTTGATCAAATATTCATACAAAATAGTCCCAAAAGGCTCACAAATTGTGCTTGATTGCAGGTTTGATCAACAAAGTGACAAAATATCAAAGATTGGCTCAAAATGAGTGAAACTTGCACAAGTGCCAAAGACAAGTCAAGTTCAGTCAAAACAGAACCCAGTGCGTCCGCACACCACTTTGTGCGGTCTGCACTGGGAGATTCAGAGAGCTGTATTTTCAAGCATCCAGGCAGTGCGACCGCACTAGGTTTTGTGCGGTCCGCACTGAAGGCAATGCGGCCGCACTACCATTCTGTGCGGTCCGCAGAGCCAAGATTCAGAGAGATGCAAAATGAAGTTTTAAGCCAATGCGGTCCGCAGTCAAGTTTGTGCGGACCGCACTAGAAGCCTCCGCGGCCGCAGTCCATTCTGTGCGGTCCGCGGAGGCCAAGTTCGGAGAGCAAGAATTTTGAAGTCAAGAGTCCAGTGCGGACCGCGGTCCATTTTGTGCGGTCCGCACTAACCCCGCAGGGGCAATTTTGTCCTGATTTTTCAGCTTAGTATAAATAGATTCTTTTTCTATTTTTAGGGTATCGGATATTGTAATACTTCAGCTGCGCTAGTGGGTCGACTTTTCTTAGCCATTGTGGGAATTTTTACTTACTTTTCATCATTGAATCTTTGTATTTAGCTTAGCAATTAATTAATATGTGTTTATCTTCATCTATTTCTTGCTTTTCTTCTTTAATTATGAGTAGCTAGACCCCATAGCTAGGGTTGTGGCTCAACCCTAGTGTGGGTAATTGATGGGTCTTGTATTTTAGGGCTAATTTGACTATGGGTGTTTGCTATTAGGCCAATTTCATGGTTAATTTATGAATTAGTTGTTGCAAACATTAGTTTGTGTTGAGTTGACTTGGGCTCTTCTTGAGAAAGAGAGCCTAAGTCTCCGAAATTGGTCCAACAATAAATTGGGGCGTACTCAAGAGATTGATAGCCCCAATTAAAGGGTTAATCCTCGAGAGAGTAATACCCGAATTGAATCCTAAGTTGCTTGTGCAAAAATTGCATACCCAATTGGTCTTGAGAAAGCCAATTCAGGCAAAATCACTTGAACCACCGAGAGGTGTAGAGTGGATAAATTTGTGCAACGGTTATAACATACTCCCCAAATATGTCAAATGTGCCTTAGATTCAAGTACCCGTCAATTGACCACCTAGGCGGTAGTCACTACCCTAGTGCCCTTTAAACTATTTGAACAACCCGTAGCATTTTAACTCTTAGCTTAATTTACAATTTTGTAGTTTGTTAAAAGTAGAATTATAAAGAAAATCCCAAAAATGCTGAGAAGTGTAATTAAGAACATAAACGCAATCCTACACTAGATAGATACTCGATTCCAATTCTAGCTCTCTGTGGATATCGATCCCGACCCAAAATCGGGTAAAAGCTATTGCGACCCTCTATTGCTACTTTTTAGTAGTGCGGAATTGGCTGCGATCAGACTGCAGCTACAATGACGGATTCACTTTTCTCCTTTCACTGTCGGAAACCAACGATAAATTCTCGTAAAGTCAAACCCTAACCTTAATCATGAAAACTCAATTCAGTAACTTATATTCGCGAATTGAGGAAATGGGAACTCATATGACTCACCATTTGTTTGAAAGATGCCCCGTACACAAGTCCAAAGCTCCCGCTGCAAATAGTTTAAGAAATGGTAAACAAAAAGAGTTAAAAATAAATTTCAATTTCATATAAGTAATCTCTTGCGCGATCATATTTTTATATATTGTGTCAAAAAGTATAATAAAACGGTAATTGATCAATCTCTATCCATGCGTAAAATTCATCTGCCCGGTTGAGTTTTGCAAACATGCTCATTAATTGATAAGCATGTATAGAATAGGAGAGAAGGGTTACGGTTGATTTGAAGATCAGAATAGAACGGGATAGATACAGAATGATGGGCTAAAGCTTTTTTCGATAAACCGATTCTGATAAGTTAATAAACCGATTTTGATAACTTCCACAAAAAAGTTTCAAAACGTGCCTTGAATTATGTTGAAGTTATCGAATTTTGCTCATTCACTATAATTCAGATCAAATTCAAAAGTATTATTATTATTATTATTATAATGATAATAATAATGATTATAATAATAATAATAATAATAATCATTATTATTATTATTATTATCATCAATTAATGATGATTAGAAAAAATAAAATTAATGATGAACATCCATATTTTAATTTGAATAGAGCTGAAAGCCACTCTAATCTTTATATATATATATATATATATAAAGTACTGTCTTTATGGTTCAAAGTTAAAGAGGAAACAATGTATGTTTTAAAATGTGCAATTTTTAAATAATAATCTAAATCAAATTTATTTATAAAGTTAAAGATTAAAAAACATATATATTTTAAAATTAGTGAATCTTTTAAAAATGAAGTATTTAATTTTTTAAGAATAAAGAAATATGAATTTGTGAAGGAGCTTTTTTTTAAAAATAAGTTTATAGCTCCTATTTTTTTGGAGGATTGTCCTAAAGTGCCAAGTGGCATATTATGATGATGCCACTTGGCTTAATGAGAATCCTTTTTCTTCTCCTTTTAATTATAGATATATTATTATTATTATTATTATTATCAATTAATGATGATTAGAAAAAATAAAATAAGTGATGAACATTCATATTTTAATTTGAATAGACCTGAAAGCTACTCTAATCTTCACACACACACACACACACACACACACACACACACACACATATATATGTGTGTGTGTGTGTGTGTGTGTGTGTGTG